TTTCACTTTTTGTTAGGCATAGGAACAGGTCATTGTTGGCATAGTGGTTACAGCGACTTAACCTTGAAATTCGGTTGTTCTATCCCGGCAAAACATATTCTATAGATTCAGTCTGAGGCTATGGTTGAATCCTTCTGTTGTCAGGCGCTCCATCCCACAGAGCTTATTTTTTGTAACTGAGATAAGTTACCAGCAAATGCTGACTTTAATTTGAGAACTGAGTGATGAATGAAGGCCAACTACTTCATTCTTCACTCAATATCACATAAGAACTGAGGCCCTTTGCTCTAAAAAAACTTTTTCCTGCATTTTCTCAGTCTTCAAGCTCCTGCCGTTTGTTTTACTCTTCATCATTGTGCCTCAGGAACCCACAACAGGTTTCTCCTAGACGTACAAACACCACAATGGTCCTAAGAGGGAGAAAAGCGCCCTCTAATGTTGTCTTTTCGTACTATGTAGGCAGAACTCCCATTGGCTCACAAAATTAGCTAATGTTGCTTCTGTTTTGCCGATAGCTTTTTTTTAGTGTAGGCTCCTATATTTTCTTTATCTTCCCATGTTTCGTAATGTCCGAAATTGTTCCTGGCACCATCTCCTTTTTTGCTCTCCCATTCAGCGTTTAGATCGTAGTATTCCGATCTAAATCTTCCGTAAACGCCTGACTTTGCCACAGCTCCAACATCCTCCCATGACAACTTAACCTAGATGCGCATACACGTCTCACATGCAGCATTTCAGACATACTTTTGCTTCGTGAAATGTACTTCTCTAGCTTATGATTAAGATAACTACAATTCCAGGTCCTCTGTATCTTAGTATGATTATCATTCTAGATAGTAAAAAATATTTCGCCCGTCGTAAGACATGTCCCCTTTTAGCAGTCGTATATCTTGCACTGTCTCGTGACATCCAATATCTCCCTAGTAGCCTGCTATCTGTATGCAGAATGAGAGCGCCTAACCCGACGTCACTGTTCCGTTTGTACTTGCAATCACTTTAACACAAACGGTCACATCATGAGTATTCTTAGTGGGATTCGTCGTAATTGTTAGCCAACCTGCCCGAACCGTCACTCACCACTACTCCTGGACAATCGAAAATTACCTAGTGATAAATATGA